GTGAACGCCATTTAGCGTCGCAGGGATTGCCATTGTTTGTGATTCAGCACAAGCGGAACGGATTATTCCAGATTACTAGCCGGGAAAGAAAGAGAGAGAGAGAGAGAGAGAATAAAGCACGCCTAGCAGAGGTATTTCATAGCTTACTCAAACTCGATCTTGAGTGGAAGTGTGTTATGTCGACCTAACATCGCGCTCTATTTACTGCACCCCACGTACATAATTTGTTCTTAATAAAAACAATTTCATTATTATGATTCGGAGCTGTGCATTAATGTCAATTATAGAATACTATTTTCACACCGCGTGACCCACAGAGAAGAGGCAATATTGCTGGGTATCAATTCTGAAGATTTTTGTCTTTTGTTTCTTTGAGTAGCCTGTGTAAAACGTTTTTTGCTATATGACCGGCAAGTTTGATCCCGGTAAATTGTTCCTTGGAAATGCGTAAGTGCCCGTTGGCTCACTTCGATAATTTAATCAAGTAAGTTCTTAGTAAGTTCTTAATAATGTTTCAAATTTACATGATATTGTTTGTTTGTTTGCTTGTTTAATAAACATGATGAACACACACATACACACACGCACACACAGAGTCGAAACTGTCTAAGATGGCCACCCATTGTCGAAGAGAAACATAGCCGTCTTGGACAAGTGGACATCCATCTATCTATCTATCTATCTATCTATCTATCTATCTATCTATCTATCTATCTATCTATCTATCTATCTATCTATCTATCTATCTATCTATCTACTCTAAATTTTGTAAACTTTTATCCTCGGAAATCGAATGAAGTTTTAAAAATCTTATAACACCCCCCCCCCCCCAAAAAAAAAGAAGCAATTTAGACTGTCTGTAGCAGTGTACCTTGGAGAAAAAGACATTGAATTTTCTGTTATACTGTACCGTTTTTACCTGCCTTATAATGTAGAACTCAGGTCCATAATCCTTATTACCGGGGTAGCACGCTGCAAAATACATGTAATCGGAACCATTCATGTTCTTCGCGCCTCGTTATACGGCTGCTGAACGTTTCAATAACGTGTACACGTTAAGCTTTGTGTGTAAACCATGTTGTGGCATAACGTCTTATATTATCTATAAAAGGGGGAAGGGGGAAGGGGGATATATATAATATATATAATGTATCATATATATAATATATCATATATAGACGTCGATATATATATATATATATATATATATATATATATATATATATATATATATATATATATATATATATATATATATAGATAGATATATAGAGAGAGAGAGAGAGAGAAAGAGAGAGAGAGAGAGAGAGGGGGGGGGGGGGGGGGACGAAGGATATCAACAGACACACAGACATACACGGAGAAAAATACATAAAAGGAAAGTTGTTTTTCCAAATAAAACATCCAAGCACACATACATGAACAAACGCAAAAACTCTCAGACACACAAACACACTCAAAAACGCATTTAAGGGCACGCACACAAACACACACACACACACACATGCTCACAGATTCATACACATGCACGCATATGCTTAGACTCGTATTGCTGATCTCATGTCTTTACTAGAACATTCTTTAGACTCAATTTTAGTTGCGATTTTAGTTTGAGCACACAAGAAAACGAGCCTTTCCTAATTAGGAAAAATAAAATTAACCTTTCAGAGTCTTTTCTCATGCACGCCTTACGCGTCGTTGATGGATTACGTGAAAACTATAACCTTTCTCTTTTTGTAAGTCCTGAAGACACAGAACGCTTCTTTTCTTTTTCCTTGAACCCACTCCTTAACCATCGATCCTTTGATCGATTTAATGAATTATTGGTGAGTGGCTCGACGCTTGCTCTGCTGGCTGGTGGTGAGCAGGTGGAACGGCTGGCCGGCCAAGGAAGTGAGGCATGACTCTCCTATCGATCTGCTTTGCCACTCAAGATTGGCCTTCGTTCTACACGGCTTTTATGGCAGTTGCGTGCAGAATGGCACTCTAATCATCGTGTCGTTTTTCACATTACTATAAGGCCTCCCATGGCATTTCAATTCTCCGGCTCAAGATTATTGGTGCCTTTCAGAAAGACGAATTGGTTTCCTCTAATGGGGGATTTGTGCAGGCCATTCAAAAGAACGGAACATTTTTTCAAGTTGATATTTTCGCTGGACAACAAGAGGGAAACTAAAATAAGGGTAAGAAGTAAAGGTCTCAGACCGCCAGCTTCTCAATGAGCACTTACTTTTTAACGGGATTCAAATTTTGTTAAAAAAACAAAACAAAAACAAACGGGGCAACAAAGTAACTATTTGGCACTCTTGTCATTTCCTTCCTGAATTTGTCGAGTATCTTGATAGTTTGTCTGTTAGGATGCTGTATTCCCCGCAGCTGGGTTAGCCCTGACAGTCATGTTCGAAGCCTGCCCCCTAAATGACCTTAATTGTTGTGATGGGGGTGTAAATGCACCTTTTTTTGCTCTCTGGCAAAGTAAACTTAGGAGTGAGAATAGAAATACAATGTGAAAGCTATCAGATAGTGTACAGACAGCTGTATTCTTGGGAGAGCAATAAGTCTATTCACAGAAATATGAAGATTTTATATGAACATTGTATCAACTTGGCATGTCCTGTTCTTTAAACGTCACTTGTTGAAAACATGTGTGTACGAGCATGAGTGTAGATTTAACTTTTGTGTGTCTCACACGCTGGCAAGTATGTGCGTATGTGTGTGTGTGTGTGTGTGTGTGTGTGTGTGTGTGTGTGTGTGTGTGTGTGTGTGTGTTTGCGCGCGTGTATATACATAAATTATACATAATATATACATATATAATTTACATACATGCAAATGTGTGTGCGTATAGGTGTGTGTGCGCGCTCGCGTATGTGTGTGTGTGTGTGTGTGTGTGTGTGTGTGTGTGTGTGTGTGTGTGTGTGTGTGTGTGTGTGTGTGTGTGTGTGTGAGTGTGTTTGAATAGGCCTGTGAGCGCATGTGATTATTATTAACCTTGATACATACATAATAGGCCTACATTACGTATTATTATGTTTGTGTGTATATCTACACGTGTATTATAACACACACACACACACACACACACACACACACACACACACACACAGACACACACACACACACAAACACACACGCACACTTGAACACACAAACAAATACAAACACACAGAAAGTAACAAAAAACAACAACAACAACAACAACCCAACAACAACAAGTGTGTGTGATAAGTAGACAAAGTATTTGCCTCTTCTTGTCGTTGTTAGTAAGTGCGAGAAACCACACCTTTTCAAAAGGAAAAGTAAAGTACCTTCAATCCTCCGCATAATTTCTTAACAGATCTAAGTTGTTCGAGTGACCCACACCGTAGGAGTAATGAATTCAGAAATATTTAAAGGAGAAAGTTTAAAATTGTATTAAGGATGATAACAATAACAATAACAATATAAAATTATAACAGCATACAAAAACAACAACAGTAACAAAACAACAACAACAACAACAAAAGAAACAACAACAATCACAACAACAACAACAACAACAACAACCAACAACAACATACTACTACTACTACTACTACTACTACTACTACTACTACTACTACTACTACTACTACTACTACTACTACTACTACTACTACTACTACTGCTACTACTACTACTACTACTACTTCTACTACTACTGCTGCTGCTGCTGCTGCTGCTGCTGCTGCTGCTGCTGCTGCTGCTGCTGCTACTACTACTACTACTACTACTTCCACCTGAATTTCTTGCCTCTTCTTTTTATGTGTTTGCCGAATTTTAAATTTAAATTGGTTTGTTTTCATTGTTACGACAGATAAATGGAGTCACCAACTCCTTCATATTTAAATTGGTTAACTGACCGTTGTCTTGGAAATCAGTCATATTGCTCTAATGTAACTTCTATCGTTTCTTGCTTCTTAGATTATCCTAATCACATTCAAGCAAGCTGTATCTAATAACACCTCTAACCGGTTATTATAGAGGGACACGTCTGGTATTTCGTGTGAACGAATGGGGAAACTGTAAGTGACCCTAAATAACACAGCAAGACTAGTGCTGAAGAAAAAGAAGAAAGATCCTGCTTACAAAATGTTAAAAGCTCTGCATTGGCTTCCAGTTGATAAAAGAATCCAATATAAAGTTTCTACCACCTGTTTCAAGCGTCTTATAGATAATGCCACATCCTATCTTTCTGAGCTTTTTACACTGTAAGTTCCATCTCGTCAGTTACGGTCATCCACGGATGCAACCAAATTCAGAGCCCCCAAGAATGAAATTACCATCTTTTGGTGAGAAAAGTTTCTCTTTTTTGGCCCAAAAATAAATCTGGAATACCTTGTCTCAGGATCTCAGAGTAAGTCATTTGTTTAATTGTTAGTGCGTTAGTAAGTGCCGTTATTTAAAAAAATAATTTATTTGCTTGTTTATTATTTTTAAAAAAAATAATTTTTATTTACTTATTTATTTATTTATTTTTTATTAATTAATTTATATATATATATATATATATATATATATATATATATATATATATATATATATATATATATATATATATATATTTAAATTTTTTTTCAGCTGTCCTTTCTTATATATAGTTAATGTATGCTTGTGAAAGTTCTTCTTCGTGTGGTTGAATTGGTTTTTCTTGTTTCTGTGAAATATTTTTTCTTGTGTGAATCAATGTGATTGGTGTAAAGCGCTCAGAGCTTATACTAGATCTAGTATGGGATAGAGCGCTATATAAATGCAATCTATTATTATTATTATTATTATTATTATTATTATTATTATTATTATTGTTATTATTACTGCATGTCAACAGCCTAAGGGGGTTAAATATTACAACAATAGAGCTCTTGGGTGTCGTTTGTCTGCTATACCAAGATGTAACCCCACTGATCGTTTCCAAAATCAGTGTGTGAATATATATATGTATATAAATAAATAATTTATTCTTTTTAATCTTTCTAGGTACCATCGATATCTCTTTGAACAAGATCATGACTACTTATCTTCCTATCACCACAACATCGTCGTGGTAAACGAGCAGTGACAGTTTGTGTCTCTCTACTTTCTTTACATAACTGTAACTACGTGTCAATAGAGAGGACAGCATTCTGTGACTCTGTGATAAGATTAAGAAAGGATTGAAATAGCCCACGGTAAATGGCAGCTTTCAGGCACCAGTCATCACTATGTCATTTCCGGCCCGGAAGATCCGCACGGTTAACACAACGAGCAGGAGCACGCTTAAACCAACGGTGAGAGATTTCAGCGACCAGGTCATTGGTAACTACACAAGTAAGTTGTTTTACTAGAACATCAGATGTGAATGCCGATATTTATGGGTACAGCATTTTTTTATGAGGTCAGCAATTTAATCTGCTAAAACGATATCGCCCTCAGGGATTTTGATTGAAGAGTTGTTATTGCATACCAAACTAAACCACGGAAGAATATGATAAGATGCAGAGGGGGATTAAAGAGGTTTCAGCTACGAGCACATGGAAGGAACAAACAGGAAAAAAAGAAGGATGACAAAAAAAGAAAAACAAAACTTTCGTATTGGGAAGCCCGATAATCAATAGAATCAAAACATAAAGGTGAAAATTTAAAAAATAATGGTTATCGACAGCAGTTACTAGAAGGATAATAATTATGAATATATGTACTCAAGTTATGAATATATGTACATGTTTATCAAAACGTGACCAAAAAAAGTTTCAGCTCAAACGTAATTCGAAAAATAAAATCTTTGAAGCCCATAGCTACTCAATCAGGACTAAAACTTAATGGTTGTTCCTGGAAAGTTTGCAGTAAGGTTATTGTCATTCCCTTATTGGCCTGTTCAACCATTCTTCTCTTTGCGCAAGATCAACAGGTTACGTCACAGTAGGGAGAATACACAAGGTGTCTAAGCTGATTAACTGTCCTCTTATTTCAGAATATCACTTGTTGATCCTTTCAACACAGAAAGGTTGCCGGAGGGATAGCATCTCGAATCGTCTGTCTCCGACTAGACAGAACCAAATTAGCAGAAAGCCATAAAAGCTCCCCTAACAACCAGCGCTCCAGAATATCCAGTTGGGGCAAGCATCACAGTCCAGCTTGATTAATTCTTTGAGGCTGACGTTCTGGTCATTCAATAACGCTTGAAAACGCACTGTTTTTAAATAATCACCCTCTTTATGCAGGTTTTTTAAAATTTTGTTTTCTTTATCCGAATACTAGAAAGGTGAACAACTAAATGCATACTATGACGTTCTACAAATTTGTGTCTCTGATTTGTGTTATATGGTTCCATATGTGCAGCAACATTGCCTTTGGTCTGCTGCTGATCGGACATGTGTATGTCCGCCGCGACTTTATAGAGCTGAGAATGAACAATCGTCTCCACAATTTCCTTAACGATTCTTCAGGGTTGCCTGGTTGACTTTTATCTCAAACCTCTTTACCGGTATCTGTGGTGCACATAAGAGCCCCCCCCCCCCCCACACACATTGTTGCAAGCGGGAAGACATGAGTTCATTTCCCTTTTGGGGAAGTTTTGTTCTCGAATAACTCCGTCTGTCTGCTAGAATGCTGACATACAAGGTGGACGACTCCTATGTGACATAACAACCTTTTCGATAAACTATAATTTTTTTTGTTTCTCTGTTTTCCAGTAGACGACGACACCTTATGTGTGAGCACCGTCGCACGCGCTCAAAGCGAAATTTCGACATACCGGCGCCCGCACAGTACAGTGACCTACACGTCCCTGGAGACAGCCGCCCAGAGCCACATACCTGCCACTTTTGACACACCGAGGTCCTCAACGTTCGGTCCTGGTGAGAGAGCTTTATGATTCCAGGCGACAGTACAGGAGGGATTTGAATCGTATGGGTTGGGCGCTCTCGTCAACACTGTAAGGTTATTTAAGATGCAGGAGGGATTTGAACCATTGAGTCAATTGAAAGGAATATGTAAGTGAACGAAAATAGCTTCACTGGAATACAAAGCAGCATACGCAAAGGAAGAATGCACACTTTTGTAGAGGTACTTGAAGAACTTTATCATCATTGTAAGTGACTGGGTACATATTGTATTAGAACGTGTGACTCATACTATGCATACTTAAATCCGTGCGAACGTTCCAGCACAAACAAACAAACACACACACACATACACACAGCCACAAAACACAACCACAGGCATGAAAACACAAACAAACGTACAGTTTTAAAAATAAAAACCCATGTACAGTTATTATTAACTCGCAAGCTGGACAACATTTGCACAAGAAATGGTCAAATACCAAGTTGACAGCTGTATTTCAACGTCACTTCCCCCCCCACCCCCTCTAAACTTATAAGTTCGAGCAGTTCGAAAATTTCTTTGGAAAGATATTTTGAAAATCGTTTAGAGCTATAAAAAAGCTCGTCAATTAGTCTCTTTCTTTCTTTAAAAGAAGCGTTTCAGGAAAAGTATTTTTGTCTTGCCTCCTTGGTTCACTGTAAGGGTCGCTGTGAGAACAAGGAGCCAAGAGATCTCCAGGAAGACTCACATTCCAAATTAGATTTTCACCTCGAGCTGTTCAGTACACATTTTTTAACGTAGAGCCAATGCTTTTTCTGTGGGAGTTGACGGAAAGGGAACAAGAAACGCACACAAACATAAAGAGCAACTCCCTTCGGGGACACGAAAGCAGCAATCGTTCTCACAATGTTGCAGCTGAGGTCCATCGGCGCCATGTTGTCAAAAGTGCTCGCCTGAGATCGAGGCTTTCCGGAAACAAACAGATGAAGCGTCTGGACTCACGGAACAGCGTCTTATCCAATGGCTGGCAAGACACAAATCCGGGCTTCTTTGCGACTTATCCCAGTGGGAGCTGCAGGGATCTCGTAAGCTCGAGGTAAATATCTCTGTCGACTCTCAGCTTTTTAGATTTAACGATGTGTTTAATTTCAGACAAGGGCGTCTCGGTGACTCGTCCAAACTAATATTACCCCTATTCTCCTATTTTTGGCTCAAAGCTAGAAGCGTCTGCCTGTACACTTTTGCACAGGATGGTAGCGGTTTACAAAAATAGCGGTAGGCGTTCAAAAATGTGTCATGTACATTTGTCCTGGCTTTAAGAAACCTTCAAATGCGATTTTAAGATTACAACACTGGCCTTATCGTATCTTTTGAACAATATTACTCGTACATTCTGCTTGTTGTAATGTCTTTTATGATTTTCTGCATAGTTGAGGCATTGAATTTGCATGTTATAACACCCCTCTTATGTGCACTACAGATCCACAAATAATCGAAGGCTAACCTTGTTAAGTAAACGGGGGAGACCGTTTGTTCGTGGTTTTTGCGCGGGGGGGGGGGGCGAAATATGAAGAATGAAAAGACAGAAAAGATGAAATAACTCTTATATACTTTCGGGCTTGAAAAACATAGAGACACATTCTTCCAATTAAATAAATATTCCGTCTGCATTTCATCATCATCTTTCTCCCCCTGGGTCAGGGTATGAACCACGAACAAACGCTCTCCACGTTTCCCTATCCTGGGTTAGCCTCAGATTTATTATTCCAAGTTTTTTTCCCTTTTTTGAACATCATTATCTGTGACCCTGCTCTTCGTTCCACATTGCCCCCCTCTTGATATCTTACTTAGGGGATTCCAAGCCTACGCTAATTTTTTTGTTATGCAGCTGTCTGGATCCCTATGATTGTGTCTAATCCATTGCCACCGCCTTCTTCCCACCTCTTCTCCTCTTCTCCGACTGGGCTCTGTCTTGTTTCTCCATAACACCTCCTTCACACACACACACACACACACACACACACACACACACACACACACACACACACACACACACACACACACACACACACACACACACACACACACACACACACACACACACACACACACACACACACACACACACACACACACACACACACACACACACACACACATACACACACGGACTTGGGCGAAGTGTGTACCTAATCAAATAATCAGTTTCCCTTCCATAATTTGGGAACTTTATGGCTGTCAAATTCACCCATAGACGTAGGCTTATAAATTTAAATAAACGCCTGCGAAATCCCCAATGAGCAGTGTGCACAATACATGGTAGTGTTTTCTTGTCAACTAAATACCTCTTTCTCTTCTTCCCTTTCGGGCTTCTCTCATAAGCAGCCACAAGCACTAATTGTACAGCTATACTAACAATCAGACTGGTTGAGTCTACCTCCAAAAATCAAAGGACACCATAATAAACTCCTGACCGGACTGTGAGTGTGTGCCTTTTCCCTCAACTTTTTACCGACATTTAATCAGGTCGTGGCATTATTATGACATCAACCTCTGACCACCAAAGGTTAGATTAGTACCGCCAAATTTGAAACATATTAATAACAGTATTGTCTTCTCTACTACTGAGCCTTCCATTTATGTATTAACTTTTTACGTTAAGTCAACTATCAACAATTAACCTTTAGGACATTACACCTACAGCAGATTTAAAAGTTACAATTACGTTTAACCGAAAGCAGGAATAAATATTTTCTGAATATTTAAGGGGTGTACAGAATGCATTCGGGATTTGTTTTCATTCATAACTCAATGGTGCCGTCTCAAGTAAGAGCAGATGTTAATTATGTTCCTACTGTGAGAAAGCTGTTCGCATGTAGGCCCCTTTTTATCCGGTTCACCCACAGATGCACATGCATATTCATACACACAGATACAAACATTCACACTCAGACAGACACACACAGACACACACGCGGGCAAGCACTCAAATACACCCAACACATACTCAGCATTCTGGCGTGGATGTTACAGGGTGCAAAATTTTCTCCATGAAAATCGGAGACAATTGTCGTTATTTGTCAATCAGAAATCCCCGATATCTTGTCTGGATTATTATTTGCCCAGCGCCTTTACCCGCAGACAATTGGCTAGCTAATTGCACAGAACAGCGGAAGGAAACCTGGCGCAGACTTGTCAAGCTGACTTGTGAAACATTGTGTAACTGTTAGTTTCCGTTCACAAGTGGGTGGCATAGAACATACACAGAATACCGTAGTCTCTTTGAGACCCCCGAACCGAAAAAAACCCCAGTCAAAGCGTCTCAGCTCTAGTTCAATGTTCCTGAGGTAACTATTTGTTCCTCTCGGAAGGTTTTGCGGAGTTTGGTATTAAGCAGATTGAAAAGAAAGGAAAAAAGGGCAAGTTGGTTAGTTCACACAATTTCTCAATCTCAAAGATCGTTATGACGGACAAAGAAAACACGACACTGTTAAAAAAAACCAAAAACTGCAGTTGTGTTACAAGGGACAATTATATACTTATACATATTTCAATTGACCTTACTGGGAACGTCTTTTCCACGAAGACGAAAACTACTTTGAAGATATTGCGTCAATCTAAAATTCTTAAAACTCCTAGGTCTTTTTGTTATTGAAGGAAGTTATGTTTCAGAGGAGACCTTTGATCTGGTCACATGTTAATCTGTTCTCAAACTGCAGGGGCCTATGTGAACTGTGCACAGCATAACTATGTGCGGTAATAATTAGACAGAACCCTCGGGACTTTAATTAGCTCTGGTTAACATCTCATTGGTCGCTGTCATGAATATTACATATTATTTTCGACGAAACATAAAAATTTGTCGACGTTGACGTAGAATAACATTACGAAGAATACAGGGTACATTTTTCTTTGGAGGGATAGCGTGACTAAAAGTGTCAGCAATCCAGCAGACATCATTGCCTGGCATTCCTCGTCCTAAGATGATGTAAGGAATGCACCTTTAATTTTAATGATTTTTGTTCGTGGTGGTTCATCATTCATTATCACCACTGCTGCTGCTCCACCTTCGCGGTATCCTGCGACAGCCGATCCATCGGTGAAAATTGTCACATCGGCACCAACCTCTTTGATCACATCCTCTGCAGCTTCACGTGCTTTTACCTTTGCTCTTTACTTCCCTTAGTTCTGTCTGAATTTTGATTTCGCCACGGGTTTCCCATGGACAAGCTCTCACCAGATCGATCGGCCATTGATTCTCTGCTTCAGAGGGGGGTGGTCTGCTAGATCGGTGCCCATCCGAAACCAACTTTTCCTGCTGTTTTTAGGCTTGACTGCTTGATCAATGGCTTTTTTCTAGGAAGGTTGTCTGGCAATCTCTTAGCCATCTCTACAGACTAGAGGCATGTTCTTTTTTGAATAGGTGGTGTAGTGCTCAGTTCTGGTCTCACAGCGCAGCGCTTCTGTTAGTGGTATTTTCAGCTGACCTGATACAAGGCGGAGGGCTTTGTTTTTTTATTCTGTCCAGGGCCTTTGCACTAGTCTCATAGTCTCACTCAGCCAAGGCTGCCATGCTTAGGCAGCATAATTCATCTTGATGATGATGATGATGATGATGATGATGATGATGATGATGATGATGATGATGATGATGATGATGATGATGATGATGATGATGATGATCTGCACATAATCCCTCATTGTGAAAAAGGCTTGTGTTGCATAGTAAATAATTGTGGACCAATTCCGGGAGGGGGGGGGGGATATGTCTTAAAAAGGTAAAACGTTACCAAGATGCCGAATTCAATCTATTTAAAGTCTGTCTAATCTTATCTCCCTTTTTGGAGTCCTGGCTCGGTTATTCAGACCAGACAAGTTGAACAAAAGTCAACAATATATATTTTTCAGACCCTTCGAACGCTCAGTATCCTCCGAGTTCATCGGACATCAGCACCCCCGGGTCCGACCGTCCACCACCGGCCGTTACTTCGACAGCAGCAACGGCTTGTGGACGTCCAGCACAGCTCGCATGTCCTACCAGAACCGTCCACACACGGCAGGCGCCTGGGCCGGGCCGGGTCTGAGGATACAGAAGATGACGCTCAACGTCAAAGACTCTCCATGGGTCCACGGGTACAACTGATACCTGAACGGGGAGGGAATTGAGTAAGGGGACGGGGGAGGGGAACCAATGGGGGGGGGGGGGGGAGAATGTTTGCCCCCTTCCAAATTTTTGAGTTAGGGTTAGACGCCAAGGGACCGGGGGGGGGGGTATATTGTATAAAGTATATGTTCTCTGGAGTGGGTGGGTTGATTTTCGACTTGTGATCTGGAATGAAATGAGGCAGGGGGGGGGGGATAAAGAAAGACAACAAAGAAAGGGATGAGAGAGAGAGAGAGAGAGAGAGAGAGAGAGAGAGAGAGAGAGAGAGAGAGAGAGAGAGAGAGAGAGAGAGAGAGAGAGAGAGAGAGAGAGAGAGAGAGAGAGTGAGAGACTGCATCCAGTATTATAGTATTATAGTGTGAGTGCTCGCATAAACATGTGCGTGTTTGTTAATCCATTTTTTTGGTTTGAATATTGAAGGTGTGTTTCTTGATAGCAGGTTGAGAAACAATGGCGCTGAAAATACAGAAAGAGGCACCGTTAAGTGATATTTAGGAAAGCAAAAACAACGAAAAGTACCAACTACAGCATGGTAATGGCAGCAACAACAACGATGAAGACAAATCCGACATTGTCAGCAGCAACAACAAAAGCAATAACAATAAGAACAATAGCAAGAACCTTCATTAAAAGATACTTTAAGTTGAACCACATTATATAAAGTACTTGTAGTAATGATGACAGTACTTCGCTTCCGGTCCTCCAGTACTGCGTGTTGCTTTTTGTGTGCATTAATGTATTGATATACTTGTGGTGAATTTGCTGATCACTCTTTAGGAAGAGGCAATCCTGTAATTCTCTGGTCGTCTAGGCATGGTTTTTCAGGCTTTTTACATGCTCCGACGACCACAGAAGTGCCTCGGGACCGGTTGCGAACGACGATAACGATAACCTGTAAGCACACAAGTTAGTCTGCTTTGACTATGAAAGTTAATTTTTACGAAGATTATTGGCCACATTCATTTCACTGTTTTGAAAATATGATAGCATAGACGTAGGGTAACAAACACACTAACAATGTCATCCCTTAGAAGCGGCCCCCATGTGATTTTTCGGCCTACTTTTATTAAATGCTAGGGATGAAGATGACGAATTATTTCCAAATTTTTGGTCACTCTATGCGAGGAGTTGGGAATGAGGGTTGTGTCCTGCCCCCACCCCCCTCCCCCCAGGACAGCCTGGCGGGGATCTAGAGTAAGCACCAAACAAACTTAACACTAAGACTAACACGCATGTCATTTCCTACATTGGAACATCATCATCGCCAACATAAATAATCATCCTCATGCTCACTATCACAATTACCATTACTGTCACCATCGCCAACAACATCATCATCATCAGCAGCATTATCATCATCATCATCATCATCATTACCGACTCAACAATTCCCCTTTCATATAACAATCTGCACCACTACTTTCTTTTTACGTAACCAACAAAAACGGGCACCAAAATCAGGACACGGGAAAAAAATAAAAAATAAAAAATGATGACAGTAATATTAGTAATGATAATATTTATAAAACAAAAGCATCTAAAGGAGCAAAAAGAAACCAAAATAATAAAACATGTGTCCGGTTTTACAGCTTCCTTTATACATTTGTCCCTGACTGTCCAATTACATTTTTATAGTTCAATCGAGAAAACTTTTCGACACAACATATACACGATAATGCTTACCCAGTCTAAACAGATTTTAATTCCGATTAAAAATGAATATTACGGCATAATCAGCTAGGTTAATCAGAGGGTCCGAGTTCAGCTTTTCTTTCGCTGATTGTAGAGAGGCACACTTCTTGACATTTTCGATTTTGACTCCAGTCAGAAGCTGCTAGAAAAGGTAACCGATTGTGGAGGATATTTTCGGACAATATCTATTTATTTTATATTTTAATTCTTCTGGGAAATATCTATAAAAAGACCCCATCTTTACAGAGATGGTTTTAAAAAATAACTTTTGTATAGATACATACTACGGTGAAGGCTTTGAACAAAAAAATAAGGACTTTGCAATTTTTGTTCAGTTTGATCCAGAGGTGAACAAATACCGACAACAACTTGTTGCTTTTCTGGACTTTTCTTTGGTATCTGTGACAGCCCAGAGTGGGTGGGTCTCCACTTTTCTGTGCCAGCATTCGAGCCTGGGCCTGAAGTGGCAATGCGTTTTGTGTAGATCAGCGTTCACTCGTAAGTCACCGTTTAACTCTTTCACCGTTGAAATGTTTCCATTTACATTTGTACGGACTAGGCAAAATGTTAGATTGGAAAACAATTAGATAAAGCTACAAGTTTGTTAATCGGAACAGAGTTCTAACAGCACAAGTTGCAAAAAACCCACCCTCCATAATAATATACAAGTAGAAAATTATGGTAGTGAACCAGTTTGGGAGAACACAATAGATTACATACGTCTTTACAACAGCGAAGAGGCTAAGTGCCGTATCGTCTCGGCCAGAGACGCCAATCAGCTTAAAAAAGGTGCAAAACGATTCGAAAATAATAGTAAGACGGTCGCCGTCACATCAGCATGGATAGGTTAATTGCACGTTTGATCTCGATATGATACATGTATTTCTAGAGGTTTTTTCTTTTTCTGTTTCTCATTGCCGGACAAAGAAAAGAAGTAAAGCATGTTACAACTTTGAAATAATGCAACGCACAAAGAAAAAATCAATTTGACAAGAATTGTTTTTATCACATTTGGGTATGACCTTCACACATTTCTTTTTTCGGTATAACACTGCTTAAGTATGTTTTCTTATTAATGAACCTTGTGATCATACGTATTGTTGCATTTGTTTGACTTAACGGATTTGCATTCAACCTTAGTTGTATTATTTATTGCAAGATCGTTGTTTGTTCATCCAAGTCTAAGGAAGTATTATTGTTAATGTATTTTGCTGCTGTTGCAACAGCAATAAATGAATTAAAGCTTTTTGGACGCACACTTATTTTCTTCCGCTGTTTTTGTTGTTACAATTACTGTCACTACATTAAAAATGTAGTCTTTATTGTGTGAGAAACCAGATTAGTTGAGTCAGATGATTGGAAGTGGGCAGTTGTCGGGTACTCTCATGTGGTCAGCTCCATCCTTCCTATCTGTTAGCCTCATCTCTCCTTCTTTCGTTGTGCCTTCCTCTCATGTAACACTTCTAATCTTCGGCATTTTAAAGACCTAATACTGTGGAAAGTGCTGGGATACTCTTACTAAAACTAAACTAAAATGATTAAATGACGACTCTTCCATGAGTTCGTGCACAAAGAAAGGGAGAAACGCTCAGCTCGGCGTGCTATTTTCGTGTAGCATATTCGAGGGAAATACTTTGTTAGAGAGAGTCGCAATTCCAAGTTTTTGAGTTCGATTCCTGGCCATAAGCAAGTGGCAAAATGGTCTTTAAGAGGAAAAGGAACCGACCATATTTTCCTGACAGCAAATGTCATGAATGTAAACAATTGGAGAGTAGGCTAATATTAAACCCGTGACAGTCAGCGTTGCATATGCACCTGCAATTAATGAAAAGGTAAACTGAAATGAATGGTTGAATTTGCCTCCCCTCCTTCAGTTGGTGTCCTCAATAATAATTACGGTAAAAATCAAAAATTGTTTCATAAATGTGGCCGGAATCTAATTAATTTGGCAATTTTAGAGGGAGCCAAAATCGCAGATGAAATTGCTTTAGACCTCCCTGTGGGCCACTTTATGGGTACATTCCTGTTTCTGGTGTGGGCAGCATTGGCCTAAATCCTTTGACTTCGAGTGATTTAATCTGGTATGATTTGGCTGGTTTTGTCCAAATTGGCATACTACTGTTCAGGGATAATTGATTTTTTGTCACGACCTCTTTCTTCACTTTGTTCTCTTTCGTTCGACTGGGTATAAAAAATTCTAACTAATTTGTTAATTTGCCAAAGCGCACTTTACTTTGAACGGCCCTCCCGTAGGCCAGCGACTAAACATTTAAAAAAATCTTTATCCAGTAATTAAAAGTTTCTTTGTTTGGGCACCTCCCTCAGGGTACATACACAGGATCACCATAGTACATGATTTGCAGCAACCAAGGCCACAAATTGCTCATTTTGAGAGAGCGACGCCAACCTTCCCCTGTATTTCAGTGTTAGCTTTTAGATTTCCTTTCAAGACCAGCTAGACGTCTGCACGTGGGTTAAAAAAATACTCACCCAACTGATTGACCGTGATTCATAGGCGTGCCTTATCGTGTGGTACAGTTGCAAATAGGCCTTTTTATGCTTTAGATGCATGCTGTTAATCCCCTCTGATTTAAAAAAAAAACCCTTTAGGCTAACATCAAAGGAAAAGTGTCGGCCATTAATTTCGCAGTTGCCTTAAATAATAGGCTTTTGGATTCTGAAGGCCATCTAACTTTTAGACCCGCAGGCAAAGACTAGAGGAGATTAAACAGAGCGATTTGCTTTTATCTCGGTTTAACCGCAGACAGGTGAAAGTAAACAAGCTTTAGTTATCTAATCACACATTTTAAACGTCCACAAATTTTTAAAATCATGATTATCTCAGCGTATGAGTCTGAAGTCTCCCAACATGTTTTTGCTATCTTAATGTTATAGTGAGTGACACTGGCAATATGTAAAAAAAAATGCAGTTAGAGCAATTAGTGCAGTGTAATAATTTAGACTTTTTTTCTTCAAATTTTGGAAAGTAAACTAACCTTTACCTCAGACAACAACAACAACAGAAAGAAAAAGAAGAAGAAGAAGAAGAAGAAGAAGAAGAAGAAGAAGAAGAAGAAGAAGAAGAGGAATGTTGTTTTTGTAAGTGTTTTACGGCGCTCGCAACTGCATAAGGTCATATGAGCGCGCGGGACACACTAAACATTTTCAGTTGGTAGGAAATTTTGAATTTTGCCCGGGTGGCGGCTTTAGATGCATGCTGTAAATCCCCTCTGATTAAAAAAAAACCCCTTTAGGCTACTCTTATCGATTTTAGACCACCAAGGGATCTTTAACGTGCACAACTTGCACACGGG